TTGGGGAACAAGAGAGCAGGACAACAGTGAACTGTTTGGGAACGAGAACTGGGGAGTACGACGACGCAGTACGCTACGCTTATAGGCGATGCTACAGCCATGTCGATGTCGGCACCATCTTCCACGCTTGATGGTTTTCCTATCGCCATTCTCTTAAACTCGGTGTGTGACTTGCGCGTGGATGGCATGGCCCACGCAGGATGACCATGAAATGATGTACAAAGCAATGGTGTCATCCACTCCATTGATTCTTTGAAGGTGTGATCAAGATTTGTGGGACCTGTGGCCCAAGATTGATGTGTCTTTTAGCCCGCCCTTACTCAATTTACTCAATTAAGTAGGCGCCTACTGAATTAAGCTAAGTAAGCAACTAACTAGGTCCGCTATGGCCGTGGTGCAAAATGACAATTCTGATCATCAAAACTTTTGGATGCACGTGATTTGCTTGGGGAAGGTTCGTTCAGCGTTTTCAAGGATTTGAATGGCGTAATTACAATGAAAAACAATGTTCCTGTGCATCTCCCAGTAGAACTGACACTTCAACAGTCAGTTCAAGTTGCCCCCAACTATCGAGCTTTTGGATGCTTTAAGGGTTATTTGGGGTCTATTGCCACACAAATTCCTTTTCATTCTTCTGACGTGCGTCAGCTACACTTTCCTCATGCATCGTAGACAACGATGTCTTCAAGTTACATAGACATGATGCGAAGATCATCCGTCTACTAACAACAGAAGACATTAGATACCCAGACCATTATGAGCCTACCAACTAGGTCGCTGATTCTTTTTGTGAAATCGATGACCATGTCCAAAAAGGCACACGACACCACGGCCCGTTATGGCTGGTGTTCCAACTACCGGACGCAGGAAAGCGCTCGCACTATTCCTGTGGTTCCTAGATTCTTAGGGAAGCTTGCATTCTCATCTCTTTTCATCTCTTTTCTCTTTGATCGGTGTGTTCCTTTTGTATGGTTGGGATTTGCTTCACATTTTTCGAAAGATCTCTTTCTTCCTTTCTGTAAAGGAATGCTACCAATACTACTGCTGCTACTGCTTTCAAGCGTGCTTTCTCTGCATGGCTGGAGTATTCCTTCATGGCAAGTCGCCAACTTACCGAATCTTACCGAGCCAAATCTTGGGCCCAATCACTTCGTGGTGTTCTTGAATGAGGTCCTTAGGTGCTTTTTGTACAGCCAAGTTCCCAACAATATCTGGATGTCTTCGATGAGTTTGGTAGGTGATTCGCAGACTTGAGTTGGCTACATCACACACCAAACGGCATGCGTCCTTGCAGTAGAGCCAATAGCATGGACCCCCTTCCAAGGGATCATCTAAATCCATGATGATCACATCAAATTTCTCCTCACTGTGCAGCTGCTCGTGCTGGTGGCACTTTGCACAAAGCTTTTGGAGGGAAGAAAGTCCAAGAACGACCAGTATGGATGCATTGAAAATCAAACCCCACAGAGCCTCTGAAATCTGTATCAATCGTCTGTTTAGCTGTTTGGACCAATGAAGCAAGTTGCTTTAATTGTCTGCAAACTGGACGAAACGGAGCAGGATAAAAACAAAGCTCAGGCGCTCCGAAGGCTGCCAAGCGTCTTTGGCTTGCTCCAACTGGATTTTACAATCATCGATGATGAGATCCAGTCGAGGATCTTTAAAAGCCTCTTTGTTTGCCAGCAGGTGCTCCTCAGGGTCAGAGTGGGCATGTCTCGATAATTTGAAATCCCTTCAGAAAAGAAAGAAATACAACCAGTTCGCCCATGCGCACATCACTTGGTGTTTGCAACACTCAGCCACTCAGCTCCACAAGTTGAAAGCACGAAAGGAAACAATATCTATAATATCTCTGCTCTTCTTGGGTCCAGTTCAGGCAGTTTCAGGGCAGGGATGCTGTCTTGGCGTTGCGGCGTGTACTGTGACAATGACCTTCGCTTCTCTTTCTCTTGTTCCTTTCCTTTCCTTCTTTCTTTCTCCACGACTCTAAGCACTTGAGCTAAGTCCTTGCAAAAATCCACCACATCTCCATCGATGTCAACCATCACCTCAGAGCGGTTAAGCGTCAGTCCCAGCTTTCAATCTGGTGCTACACACTCTTTTCGGTCCAAAAGGTCTGAAGGGCCTTACTACTAGGAACAAGTGCATCGCTACTAGAAACAAGTGCCTTACTAGTAGTAACAAGAAGCCAGTAGAATTAAAGTAATTAAATTAGAATTTAATTAAAATTAGTAAAGGCTACTAGTTGGAACGAAAGAAAGGTCCAAAAGGTCTGCAGAAATCACGGCGGCTTTGTGCTGTCTTTTTGCTATGCTTTTGGGATTGACCGCCTTGCAAACCCTGCGGCCCTCCTGAGGCCCTGGACACATTTCTCAACGGATTTGTGTCTCAAGACTTCTCGCGCAGTGCTGCCTTCGCCTCCACCGCCTGGAAAAGGCAAAGGACAACAAGGCTAAACGATGTGCACAGCCGACAGGCCGACAGGGCATGCTCCCATTGCGGCCGAGCCACCAATAAAAACCTTGGTAAACAAAGCAAGGTTGAGATGGCTGAGACTCTGCGATGAGAACTACACACACCTTTCTTAACTTTGAAGATTTATCCGCTTTGAGACACCAACAATATATGCCACGGTGAAAAGACAATATTCAAACAACAACCTTGCAAGTTTCAGAAAAAATCAAAATAGAACAGCTACAGCTGCAGCCATGAACGCCCCAGAATTGATAATTTCACACAGATTGTTTCGTGAAGGTTACTGGAACCGGTTCGGTCCAAACCCAAATCGACAGGGATCGGAATGCCAAACACTCAACATTCATGAACACTAGCACAAACATTCTCCTCTTGCGGTCTTCCTTTTCGCTTTCAGCCTTTCAGCTTTTTACTTCCGATTCTTCATTCCAACTGAGGTGGAAAACGCTCCAAGCACATCGAGTGGCGCGCTTGGGGTTGGGATGTGCCAACATGGCCGGATGCACCAGGCACTCGTGGTAGATGAACTCGTCCAGCTCGGAGGACTCAGAAAAGAGGGGAAACACGATCAGTCTTTCGTTCCAACTAGTAGCCTTTACAAATTTCAATAAAATTCTAGTTTAATTAATTTAATTCTACTGGCTTCTTGTTACTACTAGTAAGGCACTTGTTTCTAGTAGCTTCTTGTTACTCACAGCAAAGGGGACCACTTTTGGATCTGGGGCCATAGCTCTGTTGGCCCATAGTACACGAATGTGTACACGCATGCGTATTGTGTTTCATTCTCTTTACACATTCGATTCATTCTCATTCTCATATTTTCTTCAAGCCAAGCTGATCAGCTTCTTGGCCTGGATGAGGCCATCAATGATCAGCACCTTTCCAAAAGGCACGGTATCGCACACATCCACCTGCAGGTTGAACTCGACCGAGTGAAAACGTAGATGGATACATTGGATGTAATCGTCAATCTGCGCAGGGATAGGCTAGCCATTATCAAGCCATACATACGCAATACCTCATCTTCCACAAGAAAACGCTCAGTCGGCCATGTTCGGACCACAAAGGATCTTGGATAGAGCTGCAGGCCAAACAAACTGAGGACCCCAGTACTGTCAGTGTAATCTGTCAGTGTAATCTGCTACCAATGACACCGATTTGACGGAGTAGCTCCACGCCTGCTGGAACTTGGATTGCGTGGATGCCAAGATCTTGTTCAGCCTCAATCTCTCTCCACTCGCCTGCCGAGCCTGCTGGGCCTAGTTGGTCAGAAAGTAGAAGCAATAGGACCTAGTTACTAGCTAGTAGTAATGCCCTTGTTACTAGTAGCGATGCACTTGTTACTAGTAGCTTCTTGATAGGCCCTTGTGGATCTTCTTTTTAAAGTGGCAGGTCTCTTCATACCATTGCAGCCATTAGACTGCCTGCTTTACTTGACAGGGCTGGAGTGTAAAACCAATGAGCTCCTCCAACTGGGTGTGAACATGCAAAAAGCTCTCTCCATGTGGGAATTGTTTCACCTGTAGTAACAAGAAGCTAGTATTAGGACGCTATTAGGTGGAGGCCATCGCAAGTATTGTTACTACAGATGAAACGATTCCCATTGAAACGATTTCCAAGGAAGCGTGGTGATCTAAATTCCTTTTTACGGAAGCGCAATTCTTTGAAAACATATCTTTACTCTTGGGAATCTTTCGCGAATTGCATGTTTAACTCTTGAGGGGATATACCCTACAAGCCTTCTTGGTTTGGTTGTTTCCACATACTAATGTTTCGGCAAATCTATGATTACTTTCGGAAAAAAACTCAAAGAAAAACTTTTCCGAACAACAACATAAACGGTTCTCAATGAACCTAGGCCTTATGTCGACCTTTTGATCAACTACCATGTCTTTAGGGGCTTGATGGCCAAGCGGCTTGTAGCTGAAACGAAGACCCTCTTCCAGGTCCTCTGCTGGAACGCTCCCAAAATAGTTCAGTATGCTCTTCCAGTGAGGATGTCCTTCTTCCCGAAGTGTCCAGCTGTGATACAACCAAGATGAACAAGATCAGTCCATATAGAAGCATGGTCTAGGACAACATCGAATGTATGAAAACGCACTGAACACCGTGCCGGGATGTCTTGGGATGACGTGTCGAGAAGCCGGGCGTCCTCAATGATCCACTTTGCCATGGCGCGCCAGGCTCAGTGCAGGAAAATCTGGTTGCGGTGTCTGAGCGCTCAAAAGTGGCTGCGGTGTCTGCGGACGTCATCTTGTTCCTGTCACGTCACGCACTTCCTGTTCAAGCAGGCATGGACTCTACTAGGAGCAAATGGCATCGCTACTAGGGGCTCCGGGCTCCTGGCATCGCTACTAGTAACAAAAAGCTATTAGAAACAAGAAACAAATAGAAATATAAATAAATATTGCAAGAAGGCCATGCGGTTGGGTGCATGCTTATTCAAGGTGGTTGTTAATCTGGGCAAAGATTACGAACGTTTCCACTTTCCAAAATCTATCCCTCTCGGGTGGTCTCAAATGTGCCTCTTCTTCTCGCTTCTTTGCCTTCTCAGCCTGTGCGATCTTAGCTTCATCGATCATCCGCAAAGCCTCACGGCTCAAAGAGCTGTCGATTGGGACTCGGATTCCTCAGACCTGTTTTTCTCTCATCTTCATGTCCTTCAGGAGCAAGAAGCTACGAGTACTAGGGGCTCCTGGCATCGCTACTAGGAGCAAGGACACGGCCTTATTACTAGGAACAAGAAGCTACTAGTAACAAGAAGCTACTAGGAACAAGTGCATCGCTACTAGTAACAAGTGCCTTACTAGTAGTAACAATAAGCTATTAGAAACAAGAAGCTACTAACAATCTCTCATCTTTTTTTGGACTAAAAGTAGTAACAGGTGCCACGCTAGTAGTAACAGGTGCCTTACTAGTAGTAACAAGAAGCTATTAGGAACAAGGTTCCAATTCAACCGACCCATCGAGCTGTGGCCGCTGTGGCTGTGGCCTGGGCGCGTTCCTTCAGCCGCCTTTCATGTTCCAAGCGCTCCGCCTGAAGTGCACGGGTCACACGGGCCAGGTCCACGGGTGAAGCGGGTCACGTGAGAAGCGTTGGTGTTGCACGTTGTGTTCAGGTTTTTGCCACTGGCTAGGTACATGACGGCCTTGACAGTAAAAACGTTTTGCGAAAGAACGTTGATAAGAACAACTGTGCATCTGTCATCCACACCTTCTCCCGCTCTGCAGTGGCTTGACGTAGCTGCTTTTGGCCTCACACGCCCGGCTCTGACAAAGTGAGCTGTGATATGCTGTGATGCCAACTGGACCCCTGAACCCTCACTCAGGATGGACTGGAGGTGGCCGAGTACTTGCGCAAGCTGATATTTTTCCCGAAAAGCATTCCCCATTCCGGTAAGACGAAAAAACAAGACCATGTCTTTATATCACAAGGCCGCCAAAACAAGAATCCTAGTATTGACCAACAGCCATGAGTGAATGGCCAAGCCCAGGTTGTTGGCTTTGATTCTTTGATATGCTTCCAGTATTGTGTTTGCTATAGTTAAGTTTCTTTAAGAATCTAGGAACCAAATGAATAGTAGGAGTGCTTCTTCAAGGAAGCTTCTTCAAGGGGGGAGCTTCTTTGAAGACGTGTGAGCTATCCTGCCTCCATATGTAGTAGCGTCCTTGTAGCTACTTACCAGCTACCTAGCTACTAGCTACCTAGCTACGGCCTACCCCTCCAGGTTTCTAATTGCAAACATTGTTACTACTAGTAAGGCACTTGTTACTAGAAACGATGCACTTGTTCCTAGTAGCTTCTTGTTCCTACTAGTAAGGCCAGGAGCCCCTAGTAGCGAACATTGCTCCTAGTAGTAAGGCACTTGTTTCTAATAGCTTCTTATATGCTGTGTCCAATTGATGGCGAAACTGTCAGGATTCGCGCCTTCCTCAAATTCCGCCTGGAACGGCACGGAAGCTTGACACGAACACATAAACCTCTTAAGCAGGTCCAACGTGGTCCTCCGACCTAATAGGCATGGCAACCTAATAGCGATGCACTTGTTCCTAGTAGCTTCTTGTTACTACTAGTAAGGCACCTGTTACTACTAGCGATGCACTTGTTACTAGCTTCCATCTTCATTGCCCGTTGGACTCGAATTGGACCCTTCTGCTGTCCCACTGGCCTTCTGCCGCTGCTCCTGGGTCTTCTTCGCGAGGGCCATCTGCTGTCGGCGCTCCTGAAAAGCGATGCCCAGACTGTCATGGGGCAAAAGCTGGCCGTGCAAACACAAAAACAGAACACAAGATGAATAGCTTTTTTGTTACTACTAGTAAGGCACTTGTTACTACTAGCGTGGCACTTGTTTCTACTAGCTTCTTGTTATGGCCTGAATTTCTACTTCTAGGTTGGAGGATATCGCTATTACTGAACTTCTGCTGTCACTTGATACACGCTTGTGAGGTCCAAGGGTCAACACTGGATCCATATTTTTCTGACTCGATGGAACTTGCTTTGCCATGCTCTTTGGAAGGGTAAAACAAAAAGGTTCAGTTCCACTCGCTACTAGGAGCAAGGACGCTACTAGGGGCTCCTGGCCTTACTACTAGTAACAAGAACGCTACTGGGAATAAGTAGCTATTAGGTACAGGACGCTACGTTCGGGGCTCCTGATTCACCGCACCGGACAGGTGGATTGATCACACAGGCCGTTGGGTGGGGCCCCACCTGGTGTTCCACAAATCCGACCCCATCGGTGCAGCTCCTCGTCAAACTGGCGCCGCACCTCACCACACTTCACAAAATTGATCGTTTAGTAGCTTCTTGTTACTACCAGGAGCCCCTAGCAGCGTCCGATCGCTCCTAGTAGTAAGGCCAGGAGCCCCTAGTAGCTTCTTGTTCCTAATATCTTCTTCTTACTAGTGGTAATGCCAGGAGCCCCTAGTAGCGTCCTTGCTCCTAGTAGCAATGCCCTTTGTTGCTAGTAGCTTCTAGCTATGAGAAATGCAAGAAACAGGAAAACCAAAATGTGCAAATCCGCTTCGTCCACCATCACCAGTCGTTGTAACTTCGCTTTCTGGACAGGTCCACGGTAGAGTCATCCCCGAAGACCGATGCCTCAAAGGTCCGTTGCTTCTTGGCCGCCTCTTCCTTTAGAACGGAAGACAACAAGAGAAAAACAACGCGGAGGAAAACAATTCAAACAGCAAAAAGACAACAAGAACTATAGAATCTTACAGTCGGAATCACCAGGATACGAACTTGGAGCCGCAAGACTGATGAAAGAAGAAGTCTAAGAGTTGAACAAAGGAAGGTAAGGTAGTAACAAGGGCATCGCTACTAGTAACAAGGGAATTACTACTAGTGAGAAGCTACTAGTAGCGATGCACTTGTTACTAGTGGCTTCTTGGGTCCCTTTCTTTTTCTCATCTCTTACAACTCCTTGCGCCTTTCGGGAACAACAGCAAATGGGCTAGTCCTGGTGGAAGCGTTGAGCATCCTCCTCTGCTTCCATTCGCCACCTCAAACGATTGGAGATTGGATGCGTGGATTTCCAATCTAATTTTTCTTTGTTCTCTTCTGCTCTATTTTGTTTCTATTTTGGTGTTTCGTTCCTTTAGACCTTCGGACGAAAATACAGCGGTCGACGCGTCGTAGTTCAAGCTACGAGGAAGGCGGGCTGGCTGTGAAAATCCGTGACGTTAGCATCTCCTACTGGTTTCCACAACGAAACCACACAAACTAGATAGAGACTTGCATCTCATAGGTGAGTCTCCTTGATGACTCATCACACTCAAACTCAACAAGAGTCAGCAAACCTTCTGGTCGTCTCCCACCTCCTGGACAGCTCACGCCTCTCTCCCTGGTGCCACGGTTTTGGTCTGAAAGGTCTGATACAATCTTGGACATCAAGAACTCATCAACTCATCAAACATCTTAGATATCTAGGTCTGGTTGTCTCCACCCTAGTAGCGGCCTCCAATCTAATAGCAGAAGGAACCTAAGAGCAATGGCCTTTGCTCCTTGTAGCGTCTTTGCTCCGTTAGTAGCGATGCCCGAAATGCTCCTCGTAGCGATGGATGTCCCACCGAGAAATCGCTCGGTGTTTGGCGAAAAAGCGCCTGCTCCCGCAAGGTCTGTTCGCGCTGGGCATTCAGCATGGACATGTGCTCTTGCCTCCGAAGATGCAGTGTCCGTAAAAGGCGCTTGAGGCTCCTCACACTCACTAGGTGAATCTGTTTGTTCTTCTTTTTTTAAAGCCCGCTCCTACTTAATTAAGTAAGGTACTAAACACGCTCCTAGCTACTTGAGCTCCTACACATGGACGCAGGATAGTTCACACTTCTATTCATTTGGTTCGTAGACTTGTTGGGAAACCCTGAGGACAAACTGCAAACACCCAACTACCTTCCTTTACGCTGGTCTCATTGCAAAGTCTTCACAGGGGGGTAGAGAGGCAAAAAGCACCCTTTGCATGATTGATTTGGTTCGAATTTTTGTAATCTTGGAGCGGACAAGAAGCTAGTAGAAACAAGTGCCACGCTAGTAACAAGTGCCTTACTAGTAGTAACAAGAAGCTATAAATTTACTTTTCTTAGACCTTTAGGCCTATCTTTTTTGTTCACTTTTAAGGGGAGGCGCGAAGATGGGCACAGTGTGGCCTCTGTTGGTGGAGCCTCTTCAGCTGTTCCTCCTCGAGGAGCTTTGCCTCAAGGACTTCCAACTCCTGCGCAAGAGTGGAGCACGAGAAAACCTCGTGGCCGTTTTTTTGTTCCAAATGGGAGTGGTTCGTGCGCAGCGAACAAGTGATGGGAGAATGAATGACTGTCAGAATGCTTTCTTTAGGACGCTACTAGGGACTCCTGGCATCGCTACTAGGAGCAAGAACGCTACTGGGAACAAGTGCATCGCTTCTAGTAACAAGTGCCTTACTAGTAGTAACAAGGACGCTACTAGGGACTCCTGGCATCGCTACTAGGAGCAAGAACGCTACTAGGAACAAGTGCATCGCTTCTAGTAACAAGTGCCTTACTAGTAGTAACAAGGACGCTACTAGGGACTCCTGGCATCGCTACTAGGAGCAAGAACGCTACTGGGGGCTCCCCACTCAAATCCAACCTTGAGACCTGGACGCGCCTGTACGGCGGCCCATTCTAGGAGTGGTCCTTCCTTCCGCTTAAAGGCCTCAGTCGAAGGACGTACTCACCGTGCATTGTGAGGTTTTCAAAACTCACTGGACCAGTTCGGAGAAGAGATCAAAAGAGTCAGGAAAGATTGCTAGCAAAACTTTTGGATGTACCAAAAACGAACATTCTCAACCTCCACACTACCTGACTGAGAATCTGAAACCGTGGGTTTTGAGCAAACCAACCTTCTAAAACAACGAACTGTCTCGAAATTAGCCGGGCTCTCGAGGCCTTTGGGGCACCGTACGATCGCACTGGAGGCTTGAGACTGAGATCTCACTTCCTCCAAAGGAGGCTCCTGTGGCGTGCGCAGCACATCAAATGCGATTTTTTGGGCTCCGGAATCTCGTCCTCACATTTTTCGATGAGTTCATATCAAATTCTGCATGGTTCCATGCAATTCTTCCTAAATCTTCTGGTCCCTGTTGTCACCACCCCAGACTCAAAGTTCTTGCGATCTAATGAAGAATGCATCCCTCTCTAAACTGGGATTGGGCGGTGGCGGTGGCGTTTAAGTAACAGGTCACCATGATGTAGCAATCAGCCTCCCGCACGACAACTTCAACAAAATTGTCAGACCCTTTTGTTTCAGCCCAACAGCGATGGCCTCCAACCTAATAGCAAAGAATATTAGACCCTTCTTCCTTTTCCTTTTTCTTTGTTCCTCCACCCGAAGAGCGATGGCCTCCAACCTAGGAGTTAAGCTTCCCTAAAAATCTAGGAACCAAATGAATCGTGCGAGCGCTTGTTCAAGGAAGCGTGAGCTATCCTGCATCCTACCTAGTAGCTTACTAAGTAGGCGCCTGATCCTCTGGGAACCTTCTTCAACGGCTTCTCTCAAACATCTCTCAAAGAAAGTGCTTCTGTAAAGCAGGAAGCAAAACATTACAAAATTCATGCCCAAAAGTCTAAAGAAGCACCAAAAAGGCTTCTTTCTTTCTTTCTTTCTGTTGCGTCTGGGGCGATTCTACTCGCGCGACGCCTCGCACGCAAATTCTATGAATTACTTTGCATAGCCTTTGACCCCGAGAAAAAATCCGCGCCCCTTGTTCCTGTTCCGATTTCACTAACAACAAGCTTGCGAACCCAGGGGGGAACGTCAATGCTACCACCAGTTTCCCATCGCTCACTCAACCAACAATGAAAAAGGGAACCGATCATGGCGCAGAAGTCTCTCGGGTAGGTCTTGAGTTTCGCTGTGCACCATTCCTTACCCTCCTTGCCAATCGCCCCTTTAAGGGGAAGAGGCGTGGAACGGGATCTCTGTTCAATCGTGGTGACAACAGCAGTTTCAAGACCGCCTACTAGCAGTGTCGTTGGCTTGGCGCTGTGTCCGCCAAAATGACCCTGCAGAGTCTGCAACTCTACAAAAAGTCCTAGGTCTCTCAGCCATTGCATGATACTCAGTCGCCAAATGCTCGGTGCTTCTTCACGGTCTTTTCTGTATCGATCAGGCAGTTGAGGATGTTCTAGTATGGAAAATCCTCCTGTCAGCGCCTGGCATACAGCGACTTCCAGAGCAAAGCCGAGTAGGTTGCTGCCTACCTCTACCTGTCTGTGCTCGCGCGCCGTGAGGTCGGCTAGTCCCCATGGCTCATTGCGACTCCTAACAGGTCGAGGTATGCTCGTTTGCTCGGCTCCAAGGACTTCGGCGTACCTGGCAACGCTCCATGTCTCGCATGGTGGCCCAATGGTAAGGCCGCATGCCTTGCCAGCTTTTACGAATGCTATCCATTTCTGTTGGTGGCTTCTTTGCAATAGGTCACAAGTCGCTTCGTCGATTGCAACATCAATAGATGCGACCAGAAGAAGGCATCCATCTGGAATTGGAAGGCTTTCGAGTTGCATCTGTAAATCGCCTTCTCTCCGGTGTCCGCTGAAAAAGTGCAGGAACACAATTTCTTTGGGGCAGCGCTTGGGGCCCTCGCTTGACGCTCGATGAAAGCGTACTTGAGCGCGCTTGACCTCGTGGCTAAGGTCAGGCCCTGTATCATTTGGCTGAGCAGATGCCCAGGTACCGGGAAGGGACATGAGCCATGCGCTCGTTGCTGCCAGTGCTCCCAGGAGCACTCGATCGGTGCTACACTGGTATGTACTTGCCCAGCGACGAAAGCTTTCGATGATTGTATCATACGGCATGGCAATGAGGCATGCTTGCTGCAAGGCACTAGTCAGGTCTCGTTGGAATTCAGGTGTCCCAACACAGAATTCTCCGTAGTGGAGAGCTTCATCTAGTCGAACTTGCAGGACAGTACTGTCCCTGTCTTGGGCACGCGCGTCAGGTTCTTGAGGATCCAGTTCCCGCTGCCATGGGCGTTGTGGATGGACCGTCTGCGAATGTCTAACAGGGCGTCCCTGAGCATGTTGCCACATTGTATTCCTGCAGGCCTGACTGTATCGCAAGTGGTTGTGTAACTTGCTGCTGTGGAAGTACTCCTTAGCACAGACTAGGCACTTCGTGCCCGTGGTAGCTTCTCCATGCATCGTGCGGTACTCGTGTTTAAGATGTGCGTGCAAAAACCATGCCTTCTTGGTCGCGAAAGTGGTCTGGCAGAGCAAGCAAGGATGCGTTCTGATCGCGGCATGATCTTCACGATTTTGCATGTGCTGGATCAACTCAAAAATGCGTCTGTGCCAGCATTCTACTTGGCTTTCTCTGACTCTTGCCCGACGTGCTCTCTCTTGGATGCGATGGACAAGTTTCTTCCAGCCTATCGGGTGGTTCTGGATGAATGCAATCCAATGTTGCCACTGATGTGCATTTGGGTATCCCTCATCCCTTCCAAGGAAGGCCCATACCCATTCTATCGCTCTTTGGAAGGCTCGGTACGCTTTGCTATCAAGGCGTGCCAGCTCACAGAGTGCTGGTGGTCCTACTGTCAGCATAAGTCCAAAATGCCTAGCTCTCTGTGCTCTGATTGCATCATCTGGGTGTTCCAGCCCAAGTGTGGCTATTATGTACGAATGAGGTAGATGCAACGTTTGTCTGTCTTTTCTGGGCATAAGCTTGCGCAGGAGATCCCAGTATCCTGTTGACCAGAGCTTATATTCACCGGCTCCTAGCATTGGCCAGGCTCCACTTCCCCAGTTCAAAATGGATAGAACTGTAGCCTGGAAAATTTTGGCCCTTGTGGGAGTCGGGAAGTGCTCATTTCGCAGGACCTTCTGAGCGATTCTCCAGAAGCTGCTCCTGGCTTTACTAACTCTTGCCCTTATTTCTGTTGTCATTGTGCCTGCTGCTGTAACTTGGCCCCCTAGATGCTTGTATTGTGCTACAAGCGGCAATTGGACCACAGCATGCTCAGCCATGATGGGCCATGTTGCTGGTTGGGTGGCAAACAATTTGCGTCTAAGCGCAATAGCTCCTTTGCCTCGCGGCTGAATAATGGCTGCGGTTTTGGATTCACCCATCGATGCCTGCATGCCGAACTCGCCTAACACTTCAAGGAGTGCATGGACTGCTATTGGGAATTTACTGACTAAGTCATCGACTGAGTGGAATGCCAGCAGAATGGCTAGGTCGTCCGCCCATGTGGCTTGCCAGAAAGGTGCATCATGGCGCGCAAACTCAGCAGCAGGTACTATCGTGATCATGTGGTGCTCATCCAATCTCTTCTGCACCTTGCGGAGCACATGTGAGAAGAGGATATTGAACACAATGTCAGCCCAGGAGTCTCCGGGACGTGTGCCTCGCTGTGTTTGTATGCACGTCTGTCCATCATATGTGAACCAGGTTTGCTGCAGGCTCTCATGCAGTAGCATTTGCTGCTGCTGGGTGGCACCCATCTCTTGGTAGACAGTTTTTCCATTGAGGGCCTTGTGTAGCTCGGCCATGACTTCAGGCTCCAGGCCCAGACGGGAAACAATGCCTGCTAGATCTGCATCTGAGCATGTCGCTCCAATAGCTAGTTCTCGGAGGACTTTGTAGAATGCACTTGCAACGTCGCAAAAGAGCACCGCAGTGGAATTTCCTATTGATTTCTGCCAAGCAAGGAAATGTCTGACTGCCTGCGCTCCGAAAAGGACGGTTTGACCTTTCTTGCCCCCGAACTGGAAAGCATCGCTTGCATTCTCATAAGGCTGATTAATGGTATTCCTCAATGACGCGCGAACAGCTTTGCCTACAGTTGAAAGGAGTAGAATACCTCGAAAGCTTGCACATTCGTTGTGCGGTCCTTTACCTTTGTGCAAGGCAATCAGGGTACCTCCTTTCCATTGGATAGGCTCTTCTAGCCGAAAGCTGAGTTTCAGGAGTAATGGGTAGAATATGCGAGCCATTTCGGCCGGCGCAATTGCAAGCAATTCGCTTGGCAATTGGTCAGGCCCGGGCGCTCTTCTTGTTCTTACTCTACGAAAGGCAGCCTCAAGGGATTGCCTCGTAGGGAGCTCGCTCAGGCGTTGAAATTGCGGCTTTCCCTGAGCTCTCTGTCGGTCAGTTGCTCGATGGATGATGTCCTGGAGGGTAACTGCTCGTCCGGCTTCCAGCTCAGAGAAGTGCTCATTCCATCGTCTTTCCAGCTCCTCCTTAGTGGTTGTGAGGCTGCCATCGGGCCGCTTGACCTGTGGAAGTGGTCTCGCTGCACTTTTGGTTTTGCGATTTGGCAAGATATTGCGCAGAGCGAAGAAAACTTCGGAGACATTCATTTGCGCAGCTTCCTTTACTAGTGTTTCGAGGAACCGAGTTCTTTCTGCTCGCAGTTCTTTCCTGAGTTGTCTGGCCGTCTGAGTGGTTTCTTTGGCCAATCTTGCCTTGGCCAGTAGCAGCCTTGTAGCCCATCGAAGCTGGCCTTCTTGCCAGTTGCGGTTCGACCAAACATCAAAGGCACCCTTAAGAAGGATGTGGACATACATCTGCTTAATATGTCGCAGCCTTCGCTTACATGTTGTTAGGTACTGATAAGTTTCCCTGACCTGGTCTCCAGCTGTTTTGCATGCGCGGAACTTCTTCCTGCTAGGGAATGCTTGTCGGAGCTTGTCCCTGAGGAAGGCTGCAATATTCGCAGCGTGCTCGCTGGCATTGGTGTCCCATGCCTCCTCTGGGACTTCTTGGAGGATCTGTGCAATCGTCTGCTTTCCTTCTGGCGTATGCATGGCTTCCCTATCAATGCCGGTTCGCCTGACTGTGCATGTATGATCTTCAAGCGACCATTGCAAGGAAACCATGGTACAAGTGTGGTCATGCCCTGGGTGTCCCGAATGCAGCTCTTCAACATTACTAGTCCAGAGAGCAGCAGCTCTCCATCCCAAGGGCAAGAGGACATAGTCCAATCGTGCAGTACTGCGTCCATTGGGTGCACC